ACTGCATGTTATGTGTCCCACTTCTTTCAATCAACATTGAGTTAATGAGAGTCTTCGACACCAGAAGCAAACTACTACAGCCTGTGGACCAAATCCGGCCCACCACCTACTTTTGTAAATAAAGTTCTATGGGAACATGGCCACATCCATTTGTTTATATATCACCTCTTGCTGCTTTCATACTCCAAGAGCCAAGCGGTTGTGACAGAGACGCTTCGGTCTGCAGAATATCTCTATCTGGCCCTTTGTGGAAAAACTGCCAAACCGTGCCCTATACTCTCACATGTAACTAACTGTACTTTATTCTTCATTTCTTTGTATTTACAAATGTGGCAGTCTACTTTTCCATTCTATTGTTGGCGGACATCTGGGTTATTCCCAGTTTGGAGATACTACAGATAGTGTTTTAAGTATTCTTTCCTTCTGACTGAAGGATGTACATCCTTGAAAACTGCCTTTATTTATGGCCTACTGATGGTAAACTTTTGGTCTGAAAATTTATTCTTGGAAGATATATTTGCTGAATGTAAAAGTCTAGGCTGCCAGTTATATTTCCCTCAATATATTACTCCAATGTCTTTGGCTCCCATTGTTAAGAACTCTGCTTTCATATATAACTGTTGCTTCTTTGAAGATAATAAGTATATTGTCTCTGGCTGCATTAAGAATCTTCTCTCTCTTGTGTGTGTGTGTGTATGCTGTTCTGCCACGATGCTATCTTGTCACATCTGTTATTACATTTGCGAGTAGAGACTTTTAATGTAATCTGCATGGATTCTCTCAATTTTCTTAATCTGTGGATTTGCTTTATCACCAGTTCTGGACAGTCTTCAGCCCTTATCTCCTTAAATTTTTTTTTTTCAAAGTACCATTCAGTCAGAACTCTTCTTTTTTAAACTTCATTTTTTTAATTTATTTATTTTTGGCTGTGTTGGGTCTTCATTGCTGCACATGGGCTTTCTCTAGTTGCAGCGAGCGGGGGCTACTCTTAGTTGCGGTGAGCAGTTTCTTACTGTGGTGGCTTCTCTTGCTGTGGAGCACGGGCTCTAGGCGCACGGGCTTCAGTAGTTGCAGCACGCAGGCTCAGTAGTTGTGGCTCACGGGCTCTAGAGTGCAGGCTCAGTAGTTGTGGCACACGGGCTTAGTTGCTCCGCGGCATGTGGGATCTTCCCGGACCAGGGATTGAACCTGTGTCCCCTGCACTGGCAGGCAGATTCTCAACCACTGCGCCACCAGGGAAGCCCCTATCTCCTTAAATTTTGCCTCTGTTCCATTCTCTCTCTTCTTGTGCTGCTGAACTTTTATTAGATATTAGATTTTCTCACTTTATCCTCCATCTAAACTTCTATTCCACATTTCCATCTTTTGGTCTTTCATACCTGCATTATCGATACTATCTTTTAATCTATGGTCTACACTTTCTTCAGCTGTGTCTACTTTATTAAACCCAACAGCACATTCAGTATCCAAACCTGTGTGTTAGAAGTCACCTAAAGTCATCAATAATGCAAACTTATGAATACCTGATGGGAAATAAAAAGCTTAGGAAACAGAGAGATTTGTATAAATTTTCAAATAAATCCCTCATATCTTTGCTACTCTCTCTCAACTATTCAGGAACTGAAAAAAATTGGGAGATCTAGTTATTTTGGTATTTACTTCATTTCTTTCTCTCACATTAGATTTGAAGTTTCTTCAGAGGTGGAATAAGTCTTTTTATCTATTTCTGTATCCTTAGTCTTCAAATAATACCCTCAAGAAAGTGAAAAGACAACCCACAGAACTGGAGAAAATATTTGCAAATCATATGTCTGATAAAAGACTTGTACCTGGTATATATTAAAAATCCTTACAAGTCAACCATAAAGACACATAGCACAGTTTAAAAATGGGCAAAAAATTTGAATAGATACCTCTTCAAAGAAGACACACAAATGGTCAATAATCATGTGAAAAGATGTTCAGCATCATTAGCCATTACAGAAATGCAAATCAAAACCACAATTAGATACACCACTCCCACCAACCAGCATGGCAATAATCAAAAAGACAGATAATAGAAAGTGTTGGCTGAGATGCAGAGAAATTAAAACCCTCATACACTGCTGGTATCACCCAGCAATTCCATTCTAAGTATAAACCCAAGAGAAATTAAAATATATGTCCACACAAAAACTTGTAAGTTAATGTTCAAAGCCGCACTATTCAAGATAGACACAAAGTGAAAACAACCCAATGTCCTTCAACTGATGAACAGACAAACTGTAGAATATCCATACAGTGGACTATTATGTGGCAATAAAAAGAAGTACTGATACATGCTATAACAAGGATGAACCTTGAAAACATTATGCTAAGTGAAAGAAACCAGTCACAAAAGACCCATGTTGCATGATTCCATTTATATGAAATGTCCAGAATAGGCAAAACTTTTTTTTAACATCTTTATTGGAGTATAATTGCTTTACAATGGTGTGTTAGTTTCTGCTTTATAACAAAGTGAATCAGCTATACGTATACATATATCCCCATATCCCCTCCCTTTTGTGTCTCCCTCCCACCCCTCTAGGTGGTCACTAAGCACCGAGCTGATCTCCCTGTGCTATGTGGCTGCTTCCCACTAGCTAGCTATTTTACATTTGGTAGTGTATATATGTCCATGCCTCTCTCTCGCTTTGTCACAGCTCACCCTTCCCCCTCCCCATATCCTCAAGTCCGTTCTCTAGTAAGTTTGTGTCTTTATTCCTGTCTTACCCCTAGGTTCTTCATGACATTTTTTTTTCTTAAATTCCATATATATGTGTTAGCATACGGTATTTGTTTTTCTCTTTCTGACTTACTTCACTCTGTATGACAGACTCTAGGTCCATCCACCTCACAAATAACTCAATTTCGTTCCTTTTACGGCTGAGTAATATTCCATTGTATATAAGTGCCACAGCTTCTTTATCCATTCATCAGTCGATGGACACTTAGGTTGCTTCCATGTCCTGGCTATTGTAAATAGAGCTGCAATGAACATTTTGGTACATGACTCTTTTTGAATTATGGTTTTCTCAGGGTATATGCCCAGTAGTGGGATTGCTGGGTCATATGATAGTTCTATTTGTAGTTTTTTAAGGAACCTCCATACTGTTCTCCATAGTGGCTGTATCAATTTACATTCCCACCAACAGTGCAAGAGGGTTCCCTTTTCTCCACACCCTCTCCAGCATTTACTGTTTGTAGAGTTTCTGATGATGGCCATTCTGACCGGTGTGAGGTGATTACCTCATTGCAGTTTTGATTTCAGAATAGGCAAATCTTTAGAGTCAGAAAGTAAATCAATGGCTGCCTAGGGTGGCTGGGGGAAGTGGGGAATGAATACTACTGGGTTTCTTTTGGGGGCGATGAAATGTTTCATAATTGGTTCTGGTGACAACTCTGAATAGACTAAAAGCTGCTGAATTGCACACTGTAAATGGGTGAATGGTAGGCATGTGAATTACACCTCAACAAAGCTGTTAACAAAAAGTGCAGCGACTCCCTGCCCCGTCCCCTGACCCCGCACTCTTAGTTGGTTCTTCTCATTTTCCTTACTACATGTTTCTCAATAATATTCTCATGCTGCTATTTCTTACCAATTTTCAATTGACTTCCAAAAATGGAACTAAGGAACAGGATGCAGTTTTAAATTGGCAACTGAGTGTGGACCTTGTTGAGAAGGTGCACAGAAGCTATCTGGGGGAAGAGTGTTCTACAGAGACGGAGGAGCCAGTGCGAAACCCCAAGGCAGGAGTACGCTTGGTGTATTCAGAAACCAGTATAGGAGTCGGTGTGGTCAGGATGGAACTGGTAAGAAGGGGGAGGGTAGGAGACAAAGTCAGAAAGGGAGAGGGTCCATATTGTGTAAGGCTGCAAGTCCGCTGCAGGGGCTTCGGCTTTTATCCTGAGCAGCACAAATGGACTTACATTTTCAAAGAATCACTCTGGCTGTTGGGCTGAGACACGCTGAAGGAGTCTGCGCGTGGACGGAGAAAGATCAATTCAGAGCAGCAGCTCCCTGTCAGGGCATTCTGCCCAGGGACACTTGGCACTATCTGGAGGTATTTTCGGTTGCGACAACTAGGGGGAGGGGGTGCTAGTGGCACCTTGCGGGTTGAGGTCAGGGATGCTGCCAATCATTCTAAAATGCACACGACATGCCTCACAGCAAAGAATTATCTAGCCCAAAACATCAGCAGTGCCATGGCTGATAGGACCGGCTTTAGAGGCTCCTGCAAGAATCCAGACAAGAGGTAACAGCTGCTCAGAGAATGCTGGTTACAGGGCAGGTGACATGGAGCAGTCAGTGTCTGAATATATTTTAAAGGTAGAACAAAATTTCCTAGTGGACAAAGTTATTTGGCTGGAACAGCTGGAAGGATGAAGTTGACATCAACTGAAATGGGGAAGATGGTGGAGAAAACAGGCTGTGGGCTATGGGTGTCAAACAGTTTGCAGGGTGCAAGTGGGAGAGGTACAGAACTGGAGTCTGGACCTGCTAGGTGCCAGGAGTCGACGACACCCTGACTGCAGACACTGAGCAGGGCGTTCAGGAGAGAGGGTGAAGGAGTAGAGGGAAGTGTGGCTGTGGTCACCACACATTGCCCCGTGAGACCGGAGGGCGTAAGAAGAGAGCCAGGGCCAAGGAAAGATGAGAGAGGGCCAAGGCCGGAACTGCGGGACCCCGGACATTGTCAGGCTGGGATAAGGGAAAGGCAACAGAGAAATGTAAACTGAATAAAAGCTTTATCTTATCATTCTCAAACTCGTGATGGGGAAAAAAGTGTTTGCTTATGACTAAGGTTAATTCAATGAGAATACCCCTAATACATAAACAGAAATGACTATTTGTGAGAGCTACAATCAATTCACTTTCAGATATAGGATGCTTACAGTAAAACAGAGTTGATAAAAATATCTTAGATTGAGATTATGTCTTCTATAAGCCTAATGGATAAAAAGCAAAGTTTCCTTACCTGCTTTTTCCTGCCCATGGCAAGTGTTCAGTTCAGCCAGAAGCTGGTTAAAATCATCCTGATGAGCAATCCAGTTGTCCTGAAAATACCAAAAAATCAATTAGAGACAAGCCTGTAGTTTACCTAAGCCGCGATAAGATATATATTGGAATCAGGGAAATCTGGTCGTTAATGTGAATTTTTAAATGTTTCACCAAAATATTACTTTATAAATTTGAATGAAAAAGAAATAGTATAATTTGAAGTGTAATTTATCTATATCATTATTAAAAATGAGGATCTTGGAAGCTTAAGCCCTGATTTCAAATGTAGATGACTTATCAAGTCAACTTATAGTCAAATAAACAACAGGCAACCTGTGTGCTAAATGTTAAAATAAAGCAAAATAAAATATTTTTTTTCTCACTATGGGAAAATTATGTAGGTCAAAGGAAAAAAGCAGTGACAGATTTGAGGGCTCTCTTCTTTGCTCATTTGAGCTTAAAATATTTTGCGCAATTCTGCTTGCTTGCATCCATCCCAATTTCAGAAAACAGCAGTGGGGACGGGAGGAAGGACTCCAGCTTCCCTGAATCAATCAGCACCCATTTATAAGGGGCTCAGTTAATAAGCTCATCATAACAAAGACGACCTGACTTTAAAAGAGAATGAACATCTCCAAAACAATATCAACCTGTGGGGAGCAGGGTTTCAATTCGGGAACTTGCCTCATTTGTACTTTTTAAAGAATGCTTAAGGTTAAGGTATATTGAGTACGTTTACCGGGCAATGCTTCTCCTAAAAAGTGCATCTGTATATCCACCTCTTCAAAACTACCTTCAAAATCAACCTTACATAAACTCTTTTTTTTTTAAATTGTCCAAGGTGTGTTTATTAATTGATGAAAACAGACGACACTGCTAAACATTCCATCTAGTAGGTGTGTGACATTCCAGACACTTTGAAGTACTGGTCTTGGATTTTGTCCTCAGAGACAGAACATTCCCTTGCCCCTTTTTTCAAGTTTATTGAGATATAGTTGACATATAACATTATATTAGTTTTAGGTGTACAACATGATGATTTGACAACATGTATATGTTAAACTCTTCCTTTAGTGGTTTAAGATTTTAGCTGTTAGCCCAAACAATTTTAGCTGCTCCAGTCCACTACTCTGAGCTATTGAACTAAGCAATGTAACCCAGTTTACCTAAAGTAATTCCCCAGATTTCCTACCAGATTCTGTTGGCTGCAGAAATGTAAGAACAAAGCTTTCGGTTTAGATGCTTTCTACAGTGAGCAATGATACTGAAAATGAAAGGCAGGGTAAGCCATGAACTTTTAATTACAGGGTCATATTTTCAAAGTGTCAGTGTTTTAAGGGGAAATGTGAATAAATTCAAGTGCTGTACACCAACAGTCAGAAACAGACAACAGGACAGGAAAAGAATACCACTTTCTTTCAGTATTTCCAAAATGAAATGCCACCAATTTTAACAATATAAGCTAATATTACAATGCAGGTAAAGATGAAAATTCCTCTCTGTCCTGAAATGAATATTTCTTTAAAAAGAACGCTTTTTGCAAAGTTCAGCAATAAAGCTACTTTGGACCTCTTATGCATAAGCAAGTAAAGAATCCCATAGGGCAATGAGGCAAAACGATGACATGTTACAGATGCCCAGCAGCTTAGTTACGGGCTCCTTAGTTATCTAAAACATATATGATACACGCTTGAACAGCTTAAAACTGATCAATCAATTTGGTGGATTAAATTTTTTACACTGACAAAATGATCAATTATGCAAGGAAAAGCCCCAGCAGACGCTGTTGCTCACTTCATTACTGATCGTAGCTCCTAGTCCCAGGTGGTTATTTTTAACTTGAACTTTAATATGATCTGTGGCTCCTTGCTCCTGAGCCCCTAAACCCTGTGGAGATTAAACACAAAGAGAGTTAGCATTTTTATCAGGTATAAGACTAGCTCCCTTCCTTCATCAACTGTTTGATTAATCACTAAACATCTAGGAGGCATTATCCTTGTCCTTAAAGAGGACACAGTCTAATGGATTCTTACAGGATTCTGTAATATCAAGGATGCGCTTACAATAATGAATGCCAATCCTGCAACCTGTGACCCACTTCAAGGACCATGGAAACACTAAGGAGAACATCCTTTCTCTGATGCTCAAAAGCAGAGTGCTACTGCCAAACTAACAGAAGCCCATCACAGCCATTAAAGTCTATGGTGCTTTCCATTAAATAATTTTACAAAACAACACTGAGGAAGGGGACTCCAAGTCCCCCTCACCATTAACACTCATTTGTAAAGAGTCCCAGAGCGCCTGGTGTACTAAATGGCACCCAAGGTGGTTCCAGCACAGTGGATAGAGAAAAAATAAGGTGATATAAAGGGGCCAGACCTTAAGGACCTTGGAAGTTATGGGGAGAATTTGGATATTATTTTTTAAGACAATGGGAAACCACTGAACTTTTAAGCAAAGGAATGACATGATCTAATTTCTGTATTTTAAAAGCTCATTATGGCTGCTGTATGGCAAATGGCCCAGAGGAGGAAAAGAAGGGAGTCAGGGAGGCAGCTGAGAGGCTGCTGCGTTGATCGGGGCAAGCAATGGCAGTGGTTGGTCCAGGATGGGGCCCCGGATAGAGAGGAATAATGACTGGGGATTCGGGAAGTGAGAGAGGTCAAGGAATCAAGCAGGACTCCCAGGTTTCTGGTTTGAGTGAAAGGTGATAGGGTGCTATTTGCAAAAATGGGGAAAACTTGAGAAGCAAAAGATTTGTGGGGGGCGGGGGGAATCAAGAGTTTTATAATAAAAATTATCTACTTGAGATGAGGACAGAGAAGGGACTAGGGCTGAACCCCAAGGAATTCCAAAGCTCAAAAGTCTAGAGGAGGAAGAGCCAGCAACAAAAATTTAGCAGTGGCTGGTAAGGTAGAACGAAAAACCAGAAGAGAGGGCAGTATTGTGGAAGCCAAGACAGTGGTATTTCAAGGTATTTCAAGTCAATTATGTCCAATGCTGCTAAGGGATAAAGTAATGTGAGAACAAAAAAGGATCCATTGGATTTAGCAAGATCTTTAAAGACCTTGACAAGAACCGTTTAAGTACAGAGATATCAGCAGAAGTCCTACATGAGTCAAGAATAAAGGGAATGTGAGAAAAAGGAGAAAATGTGTAGTCTAGCTTTAAGGGTGAATAAAATCTTACTCTAAGCAACATAAAACTCTGACGGTTAAGTATGATTCCAAACGCAATTAAAAGGCACCATTTATGAAAATCACAGCAGGTTAAACAATAAACAAAGACAGATGACGTTTATGTTCAGTTCTAACTCTATCATCACCAGGTCATTATAATTTAATTATTTCTCCAAAATCACTTATTGATCCAAAATAAATTTCTCCCAGTCTCCTAAGGAAGATGTATTCTCCTGATCTGAAATCTCTCTGCGTGGCTCCAATTTCTTTGCTCTTCCCCAAGATACCTTTCCTTTAGACCACCCCATCTTCTCTAGCATCCTCTGGCCAAACTTGGAGTCATCATTACTCCACGCAGTGTTTCTTGGATCCACAGCCCACTTCTGCTTCCGCCGACCTGTAAATGACAAATTATCTCATTAGCAACTTATCTTTCAAACCTGGAGAATACCTCACAAGTACACAAATACCTAATGCATACACACGATACTTGCATAAATACAACAAACGTTATGTTTTATTAGATACAGATATCAGATTTGGCATCCAATGGGATAGTATCAGCTTGGATCATTTATCCTGGTTTCCCCAATAACTATATATTCTGAACATACAAACTGACCTTATAAGGTTAAAATAAAAATATTCCCCCAAATGTGACAAATCGAAACACATGATGTACCATCAGCTGGGCCTTCCAATTCAGCAACTGGCAGCAACCTAAGGCACCTGTGACACCAGTGTCACTATCACCAGCAGCAGTCATTACAGACATACGTTAAGCGCCAAATGCCATCCGTATATTCTCAGGTTCAATTTTCACAGTAACCCAATGAGGAGAGATCTGCACTTTTCAGATGAGAAAATCTGAGGCCTACAGAAAGAATGTTCCTGATGCCCCCAAGCAAAAAACAAGAGCCTTTATACAAACCAAGGTCCTACCAACTCCAAAGCTTATATTTCTAATTCACAGCATACGAGTCATGATCTTGGGGAGAGTCACCCTCCGTGCAACCTACAGATACTAATCATCCCTTCTCACAGAAACGCCCTAAAGCCATATGACCCGCTCTCTGAACTCACACAGTAAATTACCTGCTGCTTTTTTTGGCATTTAATTAACATTCTTCCGTATTATGGCTGTTTCTATCCGTCTCTTATGTTTGCTATTATGCCATAATCTCCTTAAGGCTCACATCCATGTCTTATTCTTTCTTATGCTTCACTGCAAGAAGTGAAAAACACTTTGCCCATAGCAAGCATTCAGGAAAAACATGAATGAATGAATGTATGAATGATTGAGAAAGGAAAAAGGAGGGAAGGCTGAAGAAAGGAGACAAGAAAAGGGGAAAGAAAAAAAAAAGGAAGGAAGATAACTGAATTGAGGGAACTGCTTTGAGTCCCTACAAGTTTTTTTTTTAACGTATATAAATAACTGACCATTAGAAACTCAAGTTTATCGCTATAGTTTTAAGGACAATTATGGCAGAGAGAAAGAACTCCAAAAGTTTATTAAACAAGCATATGAAACCCAAAAGTTAACTCTGGCCAAGCGGGGAATTTGGAGGTCAGGTGTCACCATCATTCACCTACTGCACCAATGGAAACAGTATCTCACTGTCAACAGCTGCTCACACCGTGGCAGTCTCCTAACAAGTATAAAAATAACAGCCTCCAGTCAGAGAGGCTCAGTGTACTGCATGTAAAATCAATAAAGAGACCTGTAACTATCCACACCCTAGCAAAAATAAGTAAACCTTTACTAAGCATGAAGGCAGAAAAAGACTACTTATAAAGAAAAATGAGTTGGGCTCAAATTTAGAGGGCTTTGCAGAAAAAAGGTGACCCCAAAATGCTACATGTGACTAAGTTACCACTTTACTTATCTAGTAAATACTCGGCTAATGAACAGCATACGAGATGGGCCTTGTTAACCAAGGCTCTCTCTGTAAGGCTGCTTCCTGGTGTGTGTCAGAGTTCATGTCTCTACTGTAGTGTCTGCCAAGGGTCTCTGACTGGGGCTTGTATGAAGGAGGCATTTTTGAGAATGACCGCAGCCACCCTCTGCAACAAAGACGGCATACAGTTTATGTCACAAACGTCTATACAGCAGACTCTAATGCTGACACAAGACTGGAGAGGCAGCGAGGTCAGCTCCTCTTCCCCAGGGAAATGGCAGGTAGCCCCCAACCAGCAGAGTAGGGCAGCTACTCCGCTCAGGGTGGAGTGCCCTGAATCTGCACAATCACTCTTTGGGATGACGGGGGCGGGGGTAACCATCCTCTAGCAGGGACTCCTCCTACATGGAGATCTAATAGGATACTTTCAGGGTAACCCCAATAAACAGCCCTGCACACAACAGCTGCCAGGCCTAATACAACAAGGTTTATGCCAGGATTCAGCTTACTCTGAAAAGTACGCTGAGTTCCAAGAGCCAGGGACAGAAATTTTTTTTTTTTCTTTGCCCAAAGACACTTTCAGATATTCAAGACTTCAAAAAATACACCATCCATGTATTCTTATTAAAATATTATTCAAGACATATTCAAGGTTACAGAAACTGCAGCATAAAATCTTAATGCAATGAAATCCATTAACTATCGTGTTGTCATTTGATTAGAAAATGTAATAATAACTGCAAGTGTCAAAAACGGGTCTTGAAAAGAGTCTATGAAAATAAGTAGTATCTTGATAAAATATGGGTCTAAGACTGAATTAAATAAGGGCTGAAGAGTGAGAGTGATAAATGAAATTCTCTTACGTTTATGTAAGCGAGATTTCTTACCTTACATAAGGGAGAACCAATAAAATAATATTTGATAACTAGAGAAATGCAAGATAAAAAATGTTTTTGAGAAACAAACTACTAGATTTTAAAAATGAGATAAATGACTGGAGAAGATGAAAGAAAACAAAATATAGTCCACATGGCAAGAGAAAACAAAGGAAATTAGCATACTGACTGAAGTGAAAATGTTCACTAAGATTAATTAGGGGAAAAAAGTAGGTTATAAAACTGTACCTCCAGAATTATCCCAATTTTATCAACTATCAGAGAAGATAACTGCTAGGTAGTGAAATGGCAGACTGGGACTTTTCCACGCTTCTAGTTTCTCATTCCTAAAATAAAAACACCAGTCCCAAATATCTAATCATAAGGGATGCCACAGACATCAATTTAGTAAATTGTTTTAAAAAACACAAAATATTATATACTATTAATGTCAAAGATTTGGACTCATGGTGGGAAGAGAACGGAAAATATTCTCATGAAATTAAGCAGCTTGAGTTGCTGATGTCCACAGATGGCACTTCACATCTGTATATTATTTCATACTTTGAACTATTTTCACGTTCACCATCTCATTGATTTAAGCCAACCTAGTAATGAACATAATCAAAGAAGTTTTTAATACCCCCAGAGAAACTGATCAGGGAAAGAAACATAAGTGAATAGCAGAGCCAGGTCTAATGTTCCCAAGTGCACGCTGAACTAAGCATACATCAAAGAATATTAAAACCACAAGAAATCTTAGCCACACTGGTTATACAGATGAAGAAATAGAGCCCACAGGGTCACACTCTAAAACATACTCCTTTCTGTAAGTCCCTGTTTAAAAAGAAATCTGCTGACCCGGGTGACAAGAACGTAAAGATATAGCGGTAACTAGATCAATTTTGTCACTTTCTGCCTCAATGACCTTGGGGTGAATTATTTTCCTCTGAACCTCAATTTCTGCCCCTGTAAAATGTGAATGGTGCCTTACCCACTCCGTTTTGTGTTCCCATTCCTCCACCCCCTTACATTAGAGGATGCCGACAGCATTTATTTCATGGAATCCCTGTGTAGCGTCTGTTGGGTCTGTTAAAATTTAGCAGTTGTTTCTGCTCCTCGCTCACCAGACACTTTCAAAGATACCGGCCGGCTTTTCAGGACCAAGGCACGACTGCCATCTGGTGGCCGGCAGCCTTGGCTACAGGTATCGTTCAGAAGTTAAACAGCCTCGCCAGAGGGAGGGAATTAACGAACTTCACAAAGTGAAGGGAAATGTCAAAGGCAAACTGAGGTAGGGTGGGGCGTTGAGGCCAACATCCCTTCCATAGCAGAGTGTTAGTAATTCCAACTACCAAAGTCAAAACCGCCACTGTCTTACTTATAATCACTCATTAGCCCCGCCTCCCCTAAAAAACGCTAACTTCTTGTGTTTGATGCTTCTAAGCCCTCTGCTTTTTTTTTTTTTCTTGATTCAATACACCTTCAAGAACGGGATTTCACTTCCTCAAGAGTTTCTGCTGGTCCAACCGCCTCTTTTTAACCAGAGGAAGCTGAGGCCCGGGGAAGTGAAAGAGCCAGTCCGGGTTCCCACAACCGGTGTCCGGACCCCCATTCGAACCCACCACTCGCGTGCTCAGGTCTGAACGTGAGAACAAGCGTCCCAAGTGGACACTCGCAGTCTCTCACCAGCAGACCGCAGCTAACTTTCGGGGAAGGCTGGGCTGGGAAATCTCCGCGGCAGCCAGGGTGAGCCGAGCAGGGCGTCCGGGACCCTGACCCCCCCCGCATCCCCCGGCCCACCGTGCGCCGGCGACCGGTGCCCCCCGCCACTCGGTCCGGCCGCCGCGTCACCCGGAACCTTCACCCTCGCGCCCGGTCGGGCCTCCGAGCCCAACACTCACGCTCAGCCAGCATCGACATGTCGCCGAGCCTGTGGCACCGCGGGCCTCGGGACCTGAGCGACGGTGGATACCGCTCGGCGGTCTAGTGGAGAAGCTAGAACCACGAGCCTCGCAAGCCCGGCAAATTGCAGCGGCGAGGGCGCGCGCCGCTTACGTCAGTGAGGCGCGACTCGCTCCTGGACGGCGCGACGGCGAGTGGGCGGGGCGCGGGAAGCCTGGGACTGCATTTGCGTGGATGCTGGGTAGACTAGCGGTTTCCAAGGTTTGTTCCAACTCCAGCATTCCGTGTGTCTATGAAATATCTATAAGGATCATCCACTAAAAAGAGTTGTTATTAAGTTTGGAGTTTTTTTTTTATTACAGAATCTTGATATTTTAAAATTGTCAGCTGGGAGTAGATATTGCACTTTTAAAAATAAGGTGATTCAGTGTAAGACATTCCATCTTATTCTTCAGTCTCGTGGCAGACCCGCATAGAGCAGGACTTCTCAAACTTTAATGTTTCGGTTGACATTCAGAATCTAATTCATTCAGCAGGTCTGGGATGGGGCCAGAGATTCTGCATTTCTAACAAGCTTCCAAGGACGTGGATGATGATGGGATTACTTTGTGTAGCAGGCCATTAAACAACCAAAGGTATGAGTGAACTCAGGGTTAAAATATACTCTTTTCTTTTTTCCTGTTCAAGAAAAGTGCTCTATGAAGAACACTTTATAAAGTGATGGTGATAAACGCTTTCAAAATATTTCAGAGAACTGAACCAAGAAGGTATTTAGGTAAGTCATCTATGCTATTGCCCTGCCTTCAGGCAAGTAAAGACCAATATCAGGGACCGATGATTACTCCTTTTTTTTTTTTTTTTTACTAAATTTGTTTATTTTTGGCTGCGTTGGGTCTTCGTTGCTGCAGGCCGGCTTTCTCTAGTTGCGGCGAGCGGGGGCTGCTCTTCGTTGCGGTTCGCGGGCGTCTCATTGCGGTAGCTTCTCCTGTTGCGGAGCACGGGCTCTAGGCACATGGACTTCAGTAGTTGTGGCTCGCAGGCTCTAGAGCACAGGCACAGTAGTTGTGGCGCACGGGCTTAGTTGCTCCGCGGCACGTTGGATCTTCCCAGACCAGGGCTCGAACCCGTGTCCCCTGCATTGGCAGGCGGTTTCTTAACCACTGGGCCACTGGGGAAGCCCTCCTTCTTTTCTATAGCTCTGGTAAGTCTCATGTCCATCCCTCCCATCCCCACACCATTCACATGCGTACAATTGTAAAAGCTAGCTACACATTCTGTACAGTCACAGAAAGGAATTCTTAATGTGTTGCATTACATCTTTATATTCTATTCCAGATATATCACTAACATTTTATCTATAAAAGAAATAAAGCTGCATCTTGCCAGTTTAATTTAGTTCATTCCTAAAGAGGCACCAGTGTGACACAATGCAGGGCTGGGGTGGGGTGGGGGAGGGGAGGGGAGCAGTCAGAGAACATGACAGAGCCTAAATTCTGCTACCGTCTTGGGGTGAGTCCTTGGGCAAGTCATTTCACCTCTTTTGATATCACTGTTTCAATCTATGAAAAAAAGGACGCTCTCAGATTATTTCCAAATCTAAAAGACTTTCAGAGAATTACTTTAATCCAATCCGGTTGCTGTTACCCAGAGAGTGGAAGGCTCATCTCTCCCTGGAGGATTTCTCCTGCGGTCCTCACCGAATCTTCCTCAGGCCCCACAAGGAACACAAGTTGAGAAGCACCTACCCACCCTGAGATCCAGTACCCTAGAAATGGATGCTTGATGTCTTGCTGAGATTTATTTACCCATCGTGGGGCAGGGGGCGGGGGGGTGTCTGGTTTTGCCAGGTTGTTCCCCCTGCAATCTGCTTTAAACTCCACCCCATTTCTGTTGCTTATGCCTCTGAGTAGGGGACTGTGTCGGTGATCCTGCTACTCTTAAGTCGACACGCCAGTGAAGGCCAGCTCAGGACTCTCATCCTCAGGCCTCCCGAGTAGTTTATCTTGTCCTCTCTTGCAGTCTTTGTCTATTGTCAAAGCTCAAATAGGAAGACAAACCCTAGCCAACTGCTTTGTGCAGGGAAGACTCTCTCTTGACCCTAGTCCAGGAGCACCTCCCGGCTCCCCGGCAGCAGTTCTGGCCTGCAATTCCTCCTCTGTTGATCCTCCCTATCAAAATGTTATAACTTCAGGGTTTCCCTGGTGGCGCAGTGGTTGAGAGTCCGCCTGCCGATGCAGGGGACACGGGTTCGTGCCCCAGTCCGGGCAGATCCCACATGCCGCGGAGCGGCTGGGCCCGTGAGCCATGGCCGCTGAGCCTGCGCGTCCGGAGCCTGTGCTCCGCAACGGGAGAGGCCGCAACAGTGAGAGGCCCGCGTACCGAAGGAAAAAAAAAAATGTTATGACTTCAAACTTTAGCCTCCACAAAATCTGTAAAGCTCAACAATGGAAAATCGTGTCCAGAGATCAAATCACCTAATGACATCAAAGGGAAAAAAATCTGATTTCCTGACTGCCTTATGATCGTTTTCTTTATTGTCTCAGGTTAGCCTTCTCTAGTTTTGGAGCAAGGTGGTGACACTTCAGTCTCTTTGTCTTGAGATAGTTTTAGGACTGTAGGTGGTAGTGCGGAGGGTGATGGGGATCGGGGCAGGGAGATGCCTGCAAAGGGAATGAGTAGACACAGGGTTGGAGTTGGATGATGAAGGAGGATGGGCTGACTTGGTCACCACGTGAGAGGGTTTCCAGACCTGAGCTGCTGGCCGAGGACCCCTGTCCTGAGGGTGGGAAAGCATCATATCAGGCAGGGACTGCACCGTGGCAGTGATGATGGACACCCTGGGATCACCTAGAAGGTTCCCCGAGCCTCACTGTGGCTCTCCCTGACCCCTCTGGCATCTTCCTTCTGGTTTCTGCCGCTCTCTGGGTAAGCAGTGCACAACCCAGGGAGCGATGTCTGCGTGGTCTGTCCCCCCCCCCCGCCCCCGACCATGATTTTCCGTGGTGCAGTAATTAACAGAATGGGCTCCAAAGTTACAGAGTTCAGATCTGGCTCTGACACCTGCAAGTTATGTCTGCTCTCTGATTCCTCATCTGCTATCCCATGGGGTTGCTGGGAGGATTAGGTAGAAAGCACATGAGGACACATTGTGGGCTACAGCACTATAATACTGTAGGCAGCCATGGCTGTTTACCCTGAGAATTACGGGCAGGTCTTGGGTCGAATCTGCCCCATCCTTATTCTTCATGTCCCTCTCTCATCTCCTACCGAGTACCAGTTGTTGACCTTGGGCAGCTCACTAAATGTCCTGTGCATTATTTTCCACATCTATCTGATACGGATAATGCTGGTACCTGCCTCAAAGGGTTGTGATGCTGATTAAATGAAGTGATTTAATGAATGTCTTAAACGAAGTTCTGAAGCACTGGAGGACAGTGTCTGGCGTGGAGAAGGAACTCGAGAAATGGCTCTGTCTATATTTGAGTGCACACAGTTTTGTTTTTTAACTGCACACCAAGGCCACCACCTTACTTTAAGGAAATCTCTATAAGTGCTTTAGGGTCATCTTTTACTTACACAGAGTTCATTCACATTTGGTCTCTTTTAAAAAACTTTGTTATGAGAGATACCACTAAGTAAATAATACCATTCGCAAAGCTGTAGGAGCCCCATTTTTTTAAATTCCACTTTAAAAAATAAAAAGTATATATAATAGTCTACATATACATACATATACAGTTAGCATATGCATGGAAAAACTGGGGGAGACTATATTCCAAACTCTTAATACTGGCATTTTCAGGGGAGTGGGGAGAGGAATTACGGAAGACTTTTCACTTTCTGCAATACATATTTGTATATCATCAGAACTTTTAAATCATAATAACACGTTACTTCTTTATGATATCACAATAGTTTAAATATATATATCCTATGTATTAATATGCATGCTCCCTATAGAAGTGTTGTCTGGTGGAACAGACATAAATATCTTGCCTGGAAATTTAATCCCATCTTATCCACTCAATCCAAGACACGCTAGAAACCTGTCACGGGCACAGGTGACAGTAATCTGTCAACATTTTGGAAACCAATGGACACTTTTAGCATGTTCCTGAGGCAGAGATAGATGAAGAGGGAACCGTTGGGAATGATGTCCAGCTGTACAGCAGCGGACCCTGTGGACCTGTGGGCTCTGCCACAAGTCCATGTTACTTCAGACTCCCCTCAACCTTGATTCTCTGTGGCTTTCCAGCTCCTACTTCTGAATTTCTCCCTTTGGGGGATCTTTGACCTCCAGGCTCCCACTTCTTGATCCTGGCTCGACTTTCTTTGGTTTTCTGGTCCCTGATTTCTTGAGGACCTCTCCTGCCCCAGGTGCTCAGACACCACGACCACCTGTCTGGTTCCATTCGGGCAGCCCTGCCTGGCATTGGCCTGTGACACAACTCTGTGGAAATTTCTAGATATCTGAGAGGGAAGCTTCGAATGCGAAGACGTCAATCATATGGCTTTGCAACTCTCTTCTGATTAAAATGACATCTGCAGTATTTGCAGGCAGGCCAGCCGTCTATGGTCTTGGTCTCTGTAGATGCATCCAAGTTGTCGCATGTGTAACAGTCTGTCCCTTCTTTATTGCTGAGCAGCATTCCCAGGTATGGATGTATCACTGTTTCATCATCCACCTGTTGTAGGATATCTGAGCTGTTTCCAGTTCTGAACTTTTATTACAAACATTCCCGTGTGTGAACATAAATACCCATTGCCTTGCAATAAATGTGCAAGAGTACAATTGCTGAGTCATCGGGTAATTCATGTTTAAATTCATAAGAAACTGACAAAACTTTTTTTTTTTTTTTTTGGCCACGCAGCCATGTGGCTTGCAGAATCTTAGTTCCCCGACCAGGGATTGAACCCGGGGCCCCGGCCATGAAAGCGCAGAGTCCTAACCACTGGACACCAGGGAATTCCCAGAAACTGACAGAATGTTTTCCAGAGTTGCTGCCCCATTTCACTTTCCCATCCACGGTGTATGAGTGATCTGGTTTCTCTGCAGCCTCTCCAGCATTTGGTGTTGTCACTATTTTCGTTGTATAGTGATATCATGTGCAAGGCACTCCCAGTCCTGGGCTG